GTGGTATTCCTTGTAGAACTTAGGTGCGCCAAATTAGGCATATCTACCTTAGTATTAATATAAGTAACATAATTAATAGTAACTACTTGATAATTATTAAATATAAGTTATTTTATATACAATGTTTATAATAACCTATATTTTATACAGTCTTGTATACTACTATATTATATCTTTTTTAAAAATTTTTTAAGCAGAATTGCAAAGTCATTTAACTAAGATTATTATTATAATTTTATATAAAAGTATTTTAGCTATAGCAAAAATAAACTGGTTATATGATAATCTGTAATACATTTAAAAAATTTTAAAATAGAAAATAACTATATTTAACCAGATTGGAAATCACCACCTTTATGTTTTTAAAGTTAGGGTGCAATTTTAGACAAAGCTTAGGGTTAGATATTAGGATACTAATTTTAGTTAATATAAGGTTTTTGGGGGTTCTGAACATTTTTACTTAGTACCTCTGAGAGGTATTAGCTAGTATATTTTTGAGATAAGACATCCCAGTGATTTAATCCCAGTGAAAATTAGAAATTCTTTTTAAAATAAATATTAATTTTTTAAAAATTACTTATTTCTTAAAAATTCTTATAAGAAACTGCCTGCTGCATTTTAATAAAAAGGTTTTTATAAAGAATTTACTTAATATAAGCATTAATCTAATTATAAATAAACTTTAAAGAATTTGCTTGTCATATGACTAGGTTATCCTTTAATATACCCTGATAGATATAAACTATGATATAACAGAGGCAGTATAATAAAAGCATTAAATTATTAGTACCAAAATTTCAAAATTTGTTATATATAAAATTACTATAGTTTTGTTATATTAAACTAATATAAATATTACAAATGAACTTCCTATATATATATGTATAAAAAGTCTTTGACAGATGACATGCAATTGGACAGTATTGAGTATATTAAAAAACTACTATAATTGTAATATTTATTTAAGTGAATATATTTTATTTAATAACTAGTATAAAAAAAGCATTTTATATAAATAAAAATAATAAAATAAATAAAAAAATTAAAATTTTTTAAAAAGAAATATTGTGCACAATTCTTTACAGATATTCTATGAAGAATCTGTTTTCACGATCATTAAATACTGTCTGAATGTTCAACAATTTGCCTTTTTTGTGATGATCCTGGAGCACCCCTTAAAATAGATTCAATACTAAGCTCAACCTGGCTCTGCTCTTTTGAATTTCTTATATAATTCTAAAAACTCTTGCATGTGCACAATTAACCAATGTCACCCACCTTCTGTGCAATCCCTCTACCGAGTTTTGGGTTCTGAGATAAGCAAATTCAATGTTGTCGGCCACTAGCTAGAAATTAGTTGAAAATAAAGGATCAGACCTAATTCTGTTATGCCTGAAAGTTACCTTTTATAAGCGCAGTATAACTAATTTACTTTAATGACGTATATGCTATTAATTAATAACTAATATCGTTTATGTTTAAGTAAAACATAGGGTTTATTGCAGTTATGCTTTAAGAGAATTATGTGATTTGCAGTTATGAAATAGGCAAATGGCTAAATGTATATGAAGATACAAGTAGATGTATTGGAGTATTGCCCGGGCCTGTGAGCTAGTTGTTGTAACTTAAACGTTACGCTCTTAACGCACGTTACATTACGACCTATATCAGATACAGTTCTCAACCTGTATTTATAATTTAGGCATTAAACATTTGATTCATATCCACTTGTGGCTTATTAAAGTATTTGTAAATATTTGAAAAAACAAACATTTTTTTTAATCAATTCATACCTACCTATCTACCTTACTGGCTAAATCAAGGTTCCATTGTCACATGACGGTAAAATTTTTATGCCGACACTGGAGATACCCCAAAAGTGCAATGACGTAACTTATGGTGCAACAAGTCAAAATTGCTAATACTACTGCCGCCCATTAAATTAAAAGAATTTCCGGACCAATTTTATTAAGTAGACCTAATTTCTTGTTTTGAATCCAAAAAAATTCTGGCCAAATTAAAGATCTTCAGCATAAGTTAATTAGTCACAGCATTTTAGGATGATACAGAATACGTATTATTATATTTTATTATACCCGCATGTGAAATGTTTTTAATAGTACTGAGATTTTTAAAAATTCTTTGTTTAAAAATGTATCTTAACAAAAAAATGAAAAGATTACAAATAAATGCGTAGATTAATAATGCTTATTAAAACGCCAAATTATTAATAAATTAGGTGTCTTTAAACTGTTCGTATTGCAATACTGTAACTTGTTGTGTAATAGTATTCACGGGGTCTGAGACTCTCTAATAACAATGATGAAACCGGTAAAATTTAATTCCATTTGGGTTATCATCATTTATTTTTTTGAATGTGTTACATTCTATTTCTATAAAAAAGTAAATAATGCTATCTATTTCTACATTTTGGCAACATGCACAGATCTTCTGGCCAAACTTTTTACCAGGGATCTTAATCATATGCAACAATTTATTTATACGTAATAATGCATATAGAATATTACTTCCGAACTAAAACTTAGGACTTTCCGAACTAAAATTTGATGCTGACAAATCGATAATAATGTCAAATATCGGTTCGGATGGAATTTGTCACAGCTGACAAATTGATGAACATAATGCCATTTGTTATAAATTGCATACATAAGCATCAGTTTTGATGGCCGATAAGCACGCCGTCATATATATAAGCGAGCCGCGAGTGCCTTTTGCTTCTCTCGAAGAATTATTAAGTATTATATATAAATTTCTTTTATACAATCTCTTATAAAAATCTCCTTATAAAAATCTCCTTTATAAAATTTTCTTTTATAAAAAATTTTTATATAAATTTTAACATTAAAAATGTCAGCAAAACCAAATATTGTAATCATTGGTGGAGGATATGGCGGAATACATGTAGCTACAAAACTCGAATTGGCCCTTCATAAAACACATCAAATCATTCTTATCGAACGTAAAACTTACTTTTATCATTCAATTGGTGGTCTTCGTGCGGCTGTTGAAGATGGATTCGAACATAAGATTATGGTTCCTTATAATAATCTCTTTAAGCATGGAGGAAAAATTGTACATACTACAGTTACTGCAATTCATGAAAAAGAAGTTATTATTAATAGCAATACTGAATGGGGAACTCGCATACCATTTGAATACTTGGTAATTGCTACCGGTTCTAATCACTCTAAACCTGCAAAGATGGTAGCAAATAATAAAGAGGAGGGTGTTCCTGAAATAGTCGCACAAAGAGAAGCTGTAAAAAACGCGAACAAGATTTTGATTATCGGTGGAGGTCCAGTGGGCATAGGTATGTTTATAACATACTGTTATTAATAATTTCAACAATGTCAAAATTTTCTGCATAATATATTACTATCATCGTTATTAATTTATCATTTATTATCTTCATTTTAAATAGAACTTGCTGGAGAAATTGCATCAGTTTATAGTGACAAAGAAATTACACTTGTTCATTCGGAAGATCGGTTGCTTTCGGAACAATTCCCAAAGAAAATGACAGATCTTCTTGCGAAACAATTGAGAGAATTAAATGTAAACCTTATTTTTGGTGAAAAAGTTAATTTTCCCTCTTCTGGTATTGGTGATGGTTTGTCTCCCTTAACACTAGAAACTAATAAGGTAAATATTTAACAAATATTTTCATTCACTTATATAATATTATCCGTGAAACTAAATTTATCTTTTTATTATAGGGTAATCGAATTAATTCTGATGTCCAATTCGTAGCTTTTGGTACAAAGCCTAACACCCAAATTGTAGAAACCTTGGACGAATCATTAATTGAAAATGATACTACTTTAGTAAAAGTTAAACCAACTCTTCAACTAGATCATGATAATTATGCACATATCTTTGCTATTGGGGACATAACAAATATTAAAGAAACGAAACTTGCTTATCGTGCTAACCTTCATGCTGATATCGTAGCTAAGAATATTGTTGCACTCATTAAGAACAAAAAATTGAATGAATATAGCCCTGGTCCTGAAGTTATGATTGTCCCCATTGGAAAGGTATCATTTTTTTCTTATTTATGATGCTATTTACTTTGCTTTATTATAATGTTGATTTTATTTTTCTTTTTACAAATTAGAATAAGGGTGCAGCTCTTCTACCAATAGGCAACATGGTCCTTGGTAGTTTCACAGCGAAAAATTTCAAGGGTAAAACTCTTATGGTTGATAAAATATGGAAAGATTTGAATGCAACACCTGTTGCATAAATGTCTTTATTCTTATATATATTATTGCATATATTATTGTTCACACACTATATCTTATTCTTCATTCGTTACGATGAATAAGGTCATCTTGTTAGTTTAAGTTATTGATAATCTTAGTGATAATCTTAGTTAAATTGAATAGTTTGAACGCAAATATTAATTTTAAATTTACTAACATATGACTTTTAAAAATCCTATTGTATACAAATTTTAATATTCTATATTTATTATTTTATCGACCATAAATTTTATATACTATATATATATATATATTTAGAAATCTAAACTACTGCATCGCATAATCTATTCATTGTTAATAAAGGTATTATAGTTTCATGGTAAGAATTTCGTAAGACTGGGCTACGATTTTTAGAATATTTATAAAAATTAAAGTACTTGAAAAAAGTAAAACACAATATAAGGGTGTGGCGCCCTAGAGAAGTGGTCAAGGTGTCACCCCCCAAGCGGCAGATTGCAGTTCGAATCCCACTGGTGACGTTTTGGAGTTAAATCTG